TTCCCTGTGGGATGCCACTAGCAACTGGCCACCAGATGGACCCTGTGACCCTGACCATCAAGCTTCGAGCCTGGTAACTTTCTAGCCAATTTTCTACCCACCTATCACGTCCGTGTCTCACCAGTTTGGCTATAAGGATAGTACAGCAGGCTGGGGCAAAGACCTTGCTAGATCAACGTATACCGTGTCTGCTCCTCTCCCCTTTTCCATAAAGCCGGTCATCTCATCGCAGGAGGCAAACAGGTTGGCTGGGCACTATGTACCCTGTTAAAATCTATATGGTGGATATTTGTAGCATGGTCTCTAATTGCTTCTGGGAGGATGTGTATCATAGCTCTGTGCACTGTTAATGGCTCTGAATTGCATTTTCCTATCCATTTAAGATGCTTGCAGCCAGTGGTTTTTCTAATTATTTTGACATACAATTATTCCCAGTGCCAGAAGGTGTGCTCATCATGGAAGAATAAAGGAAATTCCCTCAGCATGCAAGCAGATGCTGGTGGGAAAGGCCCAGCTTGCACTGCTTGCTGCCAGACCAAAGCTAACTCTTCCTTTCGTCACTCAGTCCTGCAGGCATCTACCCCTCTGCTGTCCTACTCCCAAAATAGTTCAATTCCAGATCTAGAAGGAACAGGAGCACCAAAATACGCCAAACCCAAAGACTGCTCTTTTCCCGAGTGTCACTGTTCTACAAGCAGCAGAGAAGGAAAATAATTTTATGAACCGCAAACACGTATTTCATCCTGTTCCCTTCTCAGTTTCTCTATCTGCCTAAAATTAACCTTGCGCTTATCCAAATTTTGCTAACACACAAGACGATAGGAGTACATTGGAGTCTGTTTTGTTTGCTAAGAACACTTTTATTCAATTTCTGTTTGCTTATTTCTGTATGACTGAAAACATCCATCTCTATTCTATGCATTTATATGAAAAATTAGCATTCAGAAAAAAATTGCTACTCCACAGCATAATGTAAATATCAAGCAGCTTTAAAAATATAATTCATTAAGCTAATACCCAAGGAAGTATTATGCCTTTTGATTTCTTAAGAGATCTGGGAGGCAGCAAATTATCAATAGCAAAACAAGATAGTCCTCATAACTCAGAGAAATATGTAGATAGCAGAAAAAATATTAATATTTTGGTAATACTCCCTTTGTAAAATCCAAACCATATTGCTTGTAAAGAAACTACATGACCAGTGTCTTACTGAATATTGTTTTAAAAATTGAAGGCTTTAAATTGCACATTCTTATTCATAGAAATCATTCCTGTATGTTTGCATCTCTATGGGTTTGCGGAGTATGGCTGCTCAGTATCTTGTCTCCCTCAGGGGTGTCATGTAGGTGATGGTAAGGGAATTGCTCAGTAGAGATTCTTGAGTCTAGTATCCGTGTTTCTTGTAATACTGGGCTCGTGCAATCACGTCATCGGAGAAGTCACTGTCCATTTTGTCATAGCTTTGGACATTCTTAACACCATCGTTGTAGGCAGCAATCCCACCTGAAATGAAACACCAAAAGAAGTCATACAGATTTTTAAAAAATAGGCAAAATTCCAGCCTGTTGTGTTCTGCTTTTATGGGTTTTGAAAGCTTTCACTTATCAGGACTTTGGAAGAGGAGTAGGCAGAGTTATCAGAGCTTCTCTGATTTAAGTAGGGCTCTGCAAACAGCTTACACTTATTCCTGAATCCATTAAAACATGATAAAGATATCTCAGGTTTTGTGTTCACATATATTTGCAGCTTGATGAGCTTGAACCATTTGCCTGGCTTAGCACAAACCATTCATTTTCATTGCTTGTTTAGAATAGAATAGAAAGAATAGAATAGAATAGAATAGAATAGAATCCTGTCTTATCCTATCCTATTCTATCCTGTCCTGTCCTGTCCTGTCCTGTCCTGTCCTTCCCAACATCCTTGTAACTTCTCACTCATCCTTGGAAATTGCTGCTCTTAAAAGAGAGCAAAACCACACTCATACCTTGCATTATCTTTGTCTCACAGCTACATATATGTTACTCCATGTGTCACCTTGAAAAGCAGAGGTACCTGAGGTGGCTGTGGATCGAGGCTGCCGTGGCACCCAGCAGTCCAAGCAGGTTGCAGGGTGCAGCCTGCTTTGAAGCAGGCAGCTTTTCCATGTTGTGAGGCACAGTTTTGCACTTCCCTGAGATCAAACACCTCGTCTCCTTTGTCAACAGAGACAGGGAGTGAACTGCTGGCCCCACAAGTAAACCGTGGAGATATTTGTTAACCTGAATGGCTGTGGGAGACTCCTCATGGTCAGATAAGGAAAGCTCAGCTCTTATATAGAGTAGATTTCAGGTGTATAAATATTTGCCGCACCCTGGTGGAAATTCAGCTGCATTACTAAGGAAAGGCAGAAATGACACCGAATTGACAAAGCTCGTCTTTTGCAGCTGAAATAAAAGAGAGGTGAAAAGCTAAGTGACAGCCTGCTGGAAACATGGTTTTTGAGCAACATGGGAACTCATGCAGTATGTTCTCATCCTTCTCTCCTGAATGAAACCTGTGGCCTGTACCTTACCTTTCAGCTGTTGATCCTCTGTCCAGCTTGGGAACTTCTTCTGTATTTCCTTTATCATGGAGATAAGTATGTCTGTACCCTGGGTAAGATGGGTTTCGCTGTCCCATTGTCCCTCAGGTTTATATGAGTTTTTGTCAATCTAGAAATATCAAAACAACAAAAAGAAGTCATTTGCCTGCTGCAATGGATGGTATGTTTAGGAGGCTTACTTTTATTTATATGCTATTTGTTTATCAGGTTTTAGTGGAGTATCAGCAAATACCTGCATTAAACCAAATTTATTTCCGTTGTCACCCCAGCCATTCTTCAGTTCTTTGCCGGCATGAGATTCCCGCGAGATGATGCCAGCGATCAGGGCTGGTTCAATGCACAATTTTTCACCAACTGTATTAATGAGTGTTTTATATTTGTCCATAGCTTCCAGGTCTTGTTCAGCAATCTTTTCTGAAGCACTAACTCCTGTAATTAAAATCAAAAGTAAAGATACTTGATTAAGAACTTTTCAAACTCAGAATTGTCTCTCACCTCTCTCCTTCTAAGACAGACAGAATTACATCAAAATTTTGTTTGCCTCAGCTCTGGGAGGAAGTAGGTGATTGTCTACAGGTATAGTATGCAGGCTCAGCAGCTAACGTATCTTCAGCACTTTGGAAACGTGAAGGATTTGGGATTATTGTGCCACAGAGAAGTGGAGCCGTCTGGCAGAAGAGGGATACTTACCGCAGTAGGATAAACCCTCTGACTTTGCAGTTGTGCACGAAGCCCCAGAGGTTGTAATTCCATTTACACTGCCGTAGCAATCCGTGCGTCCCTGGGAGGCACCTGCAGAGGCAGCAAGGAAGGGCTCGAGCAGTAAAAACCTTTTGTGACTGCAAGTAACACCCAAGGGGAAGCTGGACCCCGGAGAGGACAGGCCTGGGAGCCGCGCGAGGCTGCCTCTGTTGCTCCTTGAGATGGAGAGGATGTGAGGTCCTGCCCCGCGTCCCGCACCTGATACCCTGCGCCCACCCCCCTCCTTCTGCAAGACTCGCCAGGGGACCCGAGCACTCTCTCCCCTGATAGAGTTTAATGGCAACCAAGATTCTGGGGAGAGGGCTGAGGAGGTGCATCGATGTCTCCTGCTTCCCGGCTCTGGGGACCATGTCCTCGGCTGCTTGGGGCGAGGGGGCGAGGGACGCCAGACTTACCCAGGAGGGCTGCGAGGCCCAGCAGCACAAGCATCGGGTACATGGAGTGGTTCTTTTTGGGCACGTAGAGCAACCTGAAAATCAATTAGTCAGCACTGGCACGCATGAAGACACGAGTATATCTCACTGCTTGTCGAAAAACCGCAAAGAAACTTTCTGAGCTGATGGGGTGTTTCTCTTGGTTGGGTAGGCAAAGTGGTGCACAAATGGAGTCGCATCTCTTTTTACAAGACACCCCCATGGCAAAAACCAGGCTGCAGCTGTTCATAAGAGACTGGTGGCCTCTCAGTTCTGCTGGCGTTCCAAACCCACACCTTCTACGATGTCTTGGTAACTTCCTCCAAATCCCAAACCCCAAATATTTAATTCAGAAAAAATAAAATTAGTAATGTTCATGCCCTATGCTGCTGCACTCCCACCATGAATGCCCTCATTACCTGCCCATATTCTATATACAAACTGCCTTCGCCACACCTGGATAGCTTTGCCTGAATCTCCCAAGACTTTCTTTATACTCAGAAACTGGCATTTTGAAGATACAAGCTGTCTAAATCATCGTGAATATCTACTTTAGAGTGAGTGGTACTCTAGGAGCCTGGGGAGACAGGCTCACGTATGGACGAGGGCCATCTAAATTGAGGTGGTCTAAATCCAGAACTACAAGATAAACCTCAGTATCCTTATTCAAGCAGAAATCTCATGCAGCAAAAAGCTGCAGCCCCTGGCCCACCGAGAAGATGGTATTGCTGAAGGGAATGGGAAGATCTCCCACCCTGAGCTGTACCTTACCTACTTGTCCTCAGCTCAGCTTCTGGCACAGGGCTGAGGTTTTGGGGAGTTGTATATATAGGGAAAGCTATCTTTCACTCGGTGGTAATTCAACACTGTGATCAATGTGGCTTTGAGAGACTTAACAGCATTTTTTTCTCAGGTAAACAGAACTTGTTGCGCTATAGACATTGGCACGGTGGCAAATATGTTCTTGGGAGTGGCGGTTCCCAGATTTCAAAAGGGAAAAAACCCACCCTGTTTTATTCTGGGCCTCTCTCCACCTACATCATTTATTTCACACCCTGTTCCTGGAGGGAACCATGGCAACGGCCAAGCTAAACACCCAGCATCTAGCTGTTCTGTGGGTGTTTGCCCTGGTCCCATCTTGGCATCCTGGGCCGTGTCCCTACTGCTCAAGAAGAGAGGGCTGGAACTGACCCTCAGGTATGTGACATGGAGGGGCTTGCAGCCCTACTGCCTGGGCTAACACTCTCCTGAGAGACTGGCCATGTCCACGCTGGTGGTGGCCCATCTCCCTCTGCTTGGGGGATGCTCCCGTGACAGCGTGCTCTGCCGACATCACTTGTCAGCGAAAAAAATAACAACACCTTGTCATTTCAGCTTTTTTGGTTTTTTTTTGTAATAGCTTTTAATGAGCCCAACGCAACTCTGAAATGATTCGGACAACCCTTTGCCTCTACATTTTTTTCTGCTGTGAGAGGGAGAGGTTTCTGGCATACGTCTGCTTGCGAGTAGAAGGACTGCCATGAGCCAGGTGTTTCCAATCACTGAAACTGCATTTTCCATCTGGCAAGCCCACATTTCCTTCGATGGTGTGTATGCACGGGGTCTTGTCCCACCTCTGACAGTGTCTTCACAAGAAGGAGCTGCTGCATGAAGCTGGCTGTGATGAAAGGAGCAGCATGCTGCTCCCTCAGGTTGACCTTCGTTATTTAATACCTGGGAGGAGGAGTGCCTCGTGGACCTGGCATATTTGCTTGAGAAAATTGATATTTTAACACTATCTCTTGGAAATTTCAGGGAAGGAGAAGCTGATAATGAATAATGGAGAGAGGATTTCTGTGTCATCCCCCCCCCCTTTTAGTTGGAGTAAAGCAAATAACACTGAGTCGGTTATTAACTGGTTGCTGTGGTCACCAGATTAATCGAACCTCTCTCTGTTCCCTCTCTCTGTCTTCTCCAAGGACCTCCTCGTGCCCCACAATTTCACCTCTCCCATAGGGCTCGTGCTTCTGTGGTGGGACCTCAGTGTCAGCTTTCCCAGCCCTTCTACTTTCTTCTGCCCCTGCAGTTTATTCTCCACAGCAGTCTGCAGTCAGAGGAATGAGGTGGCCCAAAACAACCTCCTTAAAGTGTTGCTTCTTCACCTCTAAGAGCAAAGCCCAGCTTTGCCGGGAGAAGGGCTACAGATGCCAAAATGCCATTCAATATGCTAGGTGAGCTGATTCAGTACAGGCTTATTATACCTGGGGTGTTGACATCCCTGTTTTACTGACTCTCCCTTGCCCAGCCCTTGAACGACTGACACCTAAACCGTGTTGGTGCTCACAGAGCCAACATGGGGAGCTCCTCTGTGCGGCAAGCTGTGCAGCATCTGTGCAAGTGGCTCCTTCATCATCTCTCACCGTGTGTGCCAAGAAGATTACATCTACATTTTCCACTATCCTCTCTGGCTACATCTTCACAGAGCCGTAGAAGCACAGAGTGGTTGAGGCTGGAGAGGACCTCAGGAGATCTCTAGTCCAACCCCTTGCTCAAAGCAATACTGACTTTGAAGCTAGATTGAGTTTCTCAGAGCCTTGCACTGTCAAGTTTTGAACACCTGTGAGGATGTAGATTCCACAGCTTCTCTGTGTACCCTGGTACAGTGCTTAACCACTTGCCATTTTTTGTGAAAAACTCCTTTTCTTTTATCAAGTTCGAATTTGCCTTATTGCAACATGTGACTGTTGCCTCTGACCCTCTTGCTGTGCAATTCCGAGACAAGTATTACTCAATCATCTTCTCTGTAAGCTCCACAGAGGCATCTGGAAATGTCTCCCTCTAGGCTGAGCAGATCTAGTTCCCTCAGCCTCTGCTTGTATAACCTGTACTCCAGCTTGGTGACCTGTGCTGGCCTACCGCATATCAGTGTCCAGTTTAAAACAGGGAGCCAAAAATTCAGTACAAGTGCCGAGTAGATGGGAGATATCACCTCCCTGGCCCTGCTGGTGATGCTTTTCCTAATGCAACCCAGGAGGCCATTGGCCACCTTTGTTGCAAGGGTGCATTACCCACTTCTGGTCAACTTGTCCACCAGGACCCCCAGTTCTTGGAAATGAAGTGTTTCTGGAAGGTGGAGGGCTGCAGCAGGGCAGCTCCTGGGGTGAAGGCACAAGAGAGTCTGAGGTCA